CAAAAGTTCCTCCCCCGTGTTTGCCCCCCCCCCCCCAAATCTCTTTTATCCTCTCTGGAAAATGGAGCTGAAAATGGTACAGTCTGGTGCAGCCTTGCTTTTTATGAAGGGGAAAGTCAGACAGAGCGCCTGTCTTTCAAAATTGCAGGAGAAAGTTTTTGCAAATTGCAGGTCCTTGCATCAGCAGATCTTTCTGGGTTTTTCAACAGGCTCTGGAGAAGAGAGGAGGAGGGATGGGGGGGCAGAGCTTTCCCACTTCTTATCTCCCTCTCCTCCCAGTCAGGAATGGTTTCCTCCCTGGGCCTGAAGCTAGAAAGGAAAACGTTTTAAAAACGTTTGCTTGGAGGGGAGGGGATTGCAGGCCTTCCTGGTTTGGAACATTGCAAACAAGCTGCTTCCTTATAGGCTGGAGATGATGGGCTGTGGGGTGCACACAGAAGGTGATCCTTTCGTTTTTCTTTGTGTGTGTGTGTGTTGGGGGGAGGATAATGCAAATATAATTCAGTATTAATAAATGCTTTTAAAAATCGGAAGTACAGTATTGGAGAGTTATACCTCGTTGCTTTGAATCTTTTTTTTAATTGATTTTGTTCACCATTGCAAAGGGGTATCGGTTTGATTCTTTTGTAATATTTGTGTGCTTCCTGTTTGTTTGTTTGTTTGTTTATTTATTTATTTATTTATTTATTTATTTATTTATTTATTTATTTATTTATTTATTTATTTAACTTATATGCCCCCCACACTACCCAAAGGTCTCTGGGCAGTTTTAGTTTATAAATATTGTTGTTTACAGATGTAAGCCACCTTTTAAGGAGGAAGGTGGTGGTGGTGGGGTTAAGAAAACATTTTAGTTAAATAAATAATACCCTGTTTTCCCTAAAATAAGACCTAACCTGAAAATAAGCTCTAGTAGGATTTTTCAGGATGCTTGTCATATAAGTCCTACCCCCCAAAATAAGCCCTAATTAATTGAAACCCACCCTCCACCCATTTTTGCAGCAACCAGAAGAAGAGGACAGGACTGTACTGTATTTGAATAAATGTAGATGGTTATACAGTGGAAAAAAAACATCCCCTGAAAATAAGCCCTAATGTGTTTTTCGGAGCAAAAATTAATATTTTATTCACCGCCCCGATCCGGGCTACATTCGGGGAAACAGGGTATGTACATTCTTTTAAACAAAGATAAGTTTTAAGTCCTACGGCCTCAGCGCCTTCCTGGATAGTTAGATGGTGTGGAATCAAAGTCACTGGGAATTCTTGATTTTTTAGGTCTCCTATCTAAATATGTTGACCCCTTCCCCCCCAAAATAGCAAGGAGGGGAGAAGATATGATTTGTTAGAAGGAATACTGTGCGCACGTTCCTTGATTTGGCTTCGGGCCTGATTGAGTGATTTGCATCGGGCGCTGATTAGGTTTGGACTTGTTCAGGTCTGAATCCAAATTGGGCACCGGGAAACCACTTTTAAATGCTTTTTTTTTCCACGCAAGTGTATGAGATTTGGAGTCATGGTGGCAACCCGGTAGCCCCGTCAGCGGGGATTAACCCTTTAAAAAAATTGCAGACAGGTAAGTCTATGGGGTGTGTGTGTGCGTGTTTAACACTTTTCAATGTTTGCTTCCATATGTTTAAATTTTGCTGCTGCATTCCCTTGTTTGCTAATATGGAGAGATTGGCCCTGAACGATGCATGCATGTTTTTGCACTAAGGTTTAACTGTGTTTCTGTAACTAACACACATATTAGAAGCAGACAAGTACAAGCAGAAAAAATAAAGGCAGTGCAGATATTCTAAACAAACAAAACAGATTGAAATCAATGTGGCGTTTTAAAAAATATCAAGAGCCAACATTGCTAAACAAAGCAACATATTTTGACAAATCCCAAATGTCCCTTGCTGTTTATTCGCCTAGCTACACCACATGCCATCATCACAAAGAAAGCTCCTTTACTTATTCATGCACCTGAGCTGCAGTGTCTCATAAACCTCACTGAGGCCTAGTGGCATGCATATTTCCAAAGAGATGTTTTCAGATACTGATTGTAAAAGGTGCAATTCTGTGGAATGTGTAAGCTGGGAGCCCTGTTGCTTGCATGCACCTCGAATATTCATCGGCCATAATAAACTCAAAACAGAGAAGGGAAGACACTCTTAAGAGAGAAAAACAGAATGTGTTGGCAGGAAAATGCAAATGGCCACAGACAGAATCTGTTAAAATTAGGCATCCTTTTAGCCACTGAATGATTAAACCTTGGAATTAGCCCGATAGTTATCTGTTTTGAGCTCACATGACACAAAAAGAGGAAAAAGCAGATGGAGAAAATTAAAAAGAGAAAGGAAGGGCTAGAACTTCAAGGAGAGGGAAAAAATGATTTTAAAAAAAGTTTCTAAAGCCATTGGAGAGTTTTCTAAAAAGTAGAGGAATTTTTAGAACCACTTGCAGTTACTCCTGCTGTGGGTGGGGCTGTCCTGTTTTTCTCTTAAGAGTTCCCATTCAAGATCTGATGGGGGGGGTAGCCAGTTTCCTGTTGATGGTCCCCCAGTATCCTATCTCCAGTTATACGGTGGCGTTTTTCTTTATCCTGATTCTTATAATCACCGGTCTTTCCCCCATGAATATACCTGATCCTTTAAGAAACAAATCTAATCTCTCAGCCTGAGCTAATGTTTGAGTCTTTTCCTGGGCCTTCATTTTGTAAGATATTTACTTCCTTGACAAAACAGTTCCTGTTTCTGGTCATCAGCCACTATCCTTTGATACAGACTTGGCAAACGTGAGCCGGAAAGGGAATAAGCGATGCAAAAATATTTGTCAATGTGCTTTTATTAAAGAGTTGGCCCCGATAATTATTTCCCTCCAGGCCCAGATTTACCTGGACTGCAACTACTGTATATAAGTTATCATTTTGAATTGCAAACGGCTTCCTCTGCTTTAGGAATAAGAGGACCAAAGATCAGAAAGGTACTTTTTTGCCGTGTAAATCGTGGAATTCTCTTAGTCAGTAGGAGTCGGATTCTGGGAATTGTAATTTACAAGTACAGTTTTTCTGAGCTCTGAAGATGAAAGAAGGGGAGAAGGAAAGCAAGTAAATAAATATAGTATAGGATGCAGAAATCAAGGTGGCTAAAAGCACCTGTGGCTACCTGTCAGGGGGGCAAATATATCACCTCCAATATCCTTTGCTGGGGAATGTGAGATAAGAGGGTGTGTTTGAACTGGTGGCCTACTGGCACGCTTCCCAGAGGTAACTGGTTGGTGTAAAGCCTTTTTCCCCAACTGATTTTGAGTCTTGGGTATGTATTTCTGTCTCATTCTTATCCCTTACATTTTATTTTTGGGTTTTGACGTTCTAATATTTTAACATTCTGACACCGTTTGGCTAGTTTGCGTTGACCGTAATGTTTGTGGCTTGCTTGCCTTTTTACGTAGAGTGTATATTGTCAGTCGCGCAGGGCGTAAATGCTTAAAAGCATTTCAATTCCTTGTGGATTGGCTGGTTTTAGCCACGGTAGTGGGAAACAGACTTGCCAGACCAGGTGGGATTCCCAGCGGAGGCTGCCAGGCTCGCCTTGTGCTCTCGGGGAAACCAGGTGTTCCTCCGGGGCCCTTTTGACAGCAGGACGCTCAAAAAAAAAAATTAATGGCGGACAGAAAGCTTTTGGACCTCCATCTGCCACGGGTTGTGCTGGGTGGGTGGGGATTCTGGGAGGTGTCATTATTTGCTGTGAAACTTAGGAGATAGAATCCTAGAATCATGGAGTTGGAAGGGGTCTGTAAGGCCACCGAGGCCAACGCTCAGTGCAAGAATCCGAATCAAAGCCGATTCTGGGAGACGGTGGTCCAGTTTTTCTCTTGAAGCCCAGAAGGGATGGCCTAAATCCGTTTAGTCCTTACTAGGGTCGACCCTGATTTTGGGAAAGTGTGAGGGCAAGAGGAGAAGGGGACGACAGAGGAGGAGATGGGTGGACAGTGTCACCGAAGCGACCAACGTGAATTTGACCCAACTCCGGGAGGCAGTGGAAGACAGGAGGGCCTGGCGTGCTCTCTGGTCCATGGGGTCACCAAGAGTCGGACACGACTTAATGACTAAACAACAACAAGGGTTGACTTATTGATTCAATGGGCACTGCCGTGAGGGCTGACCGAGGATTCCGTGGCTCAAGTGATGGTTGAACCTCTGCTGATAGGTTGCCAAGAGCGAACACTCCTATACCCCTTTGTTTTCCTTTCCTCCTAGCTTTCTGGACTAGATGGAGCGTGATTTGGAGTCCGACCTGGACCGCACCCTGAGTCCGCTGCTGAGCCAGGAGACATTTCAGGACCTGTGGGGTTCCTTGGAGGCGACAGACTCAACAGGTTTCCTGGTGAGTAGCGTTGGTGTGGGAAAGCGTGGCTGGAGCCCAGGACGGGGGTGGGGAAGTGGCCTACGAGGGTGCGACCGTGAAATACAGTACGTGGGCTCTTTTCCGATTTCAGAAGCTAAGCAGGGCCTGGAGTGGGAGATAAGTGGATGGGAGGCAACCCATCAGTACCCCCCCTTTTTTTAACGTTAAGATGGTTTTTCACGTTTCCTTACTTTTAATTATTCAATTGCATTTTCATTTGCAAATCGTGTCATGGTTGATTAAGGTTTAATTTAATTGTGTTTTTAATTCTGTTTCTAAATATTGTAAGCTGCCTTGGGTCTCCTTATTGGGGGGCAGAGGCAGCCCATAAGACAAACGAAGAAGCAAACAAAATCAACCAGGAGGGTTAGGAAAAAGTCCTGCCCCAAACCCTCGAGGGCCCTGGCGGCCAGACAGCGCTGACCGCACTGAGCTAGGTGGTCTTAAGGATTTGACCATCTATAAGGCGGCGGTCTTTTTCTGTAGTGAACGACAACAAAATTACAGTGGTGCTTCGCTAAATGATGCTAATCCATTCTGTCAAAATCGCTGTCTTGTGAAAGCACGGTTCCCCATTGGAATGCATTGAAATCCATTTAATGCGTTCCAATGGGGACAAATCGTTGTCGTCCAGCGAAGATCGCCCATAGGGAAACTGATTTGCGAAGTGCCAATCCGCGGTCAAAATCGGCATCTAGCTAAAAATGGTCCCGAAAACACCCGTTTAGCAAAGCACCGATCAGCTGTCAAAATCGGTGTCTAGCGAGGCATCGGTCTCAGGGAAAAAACGTCTTGTGAAACACGATCCGAAACATTGTCCAGCAAAAATTGCCCATAGGGAAAGCCGTTTTGCGAAGCACTATAGTGCTCGCAAAAACCCATCGTCTAGCGATTTCCTCGGCCTGCGAGGCAATCGTCTAGCGAGGCACCACTGTAACAACCGCCTTGCGTTGTCAAAAAGAGAGAGAGAGAGAGAGAAAAGGTGGCCTTGCAGGAAGTCTCGCCACTTGTGATGAGAAGTGTCTCATCTGGTTGTCTTTTTTTTTAAATCTTGTCTGGACCTTCACGTCAGTTGAGTTAGACCAGCACGCGTGACGGATAGGACTCGGGCCAGTGTTTGATCCTCATCTTCCTGACACACATGGAGATGAGAGTAGAAAACTGAACATAATGAATTCAGACTATTCTAAGGCCCGTTGGAAATGTGATGAAGAAATTGGTACATATTCTCATATGCGGTGGGAGTGTAAATTGATTCAGAAATTTAGGAAATGGATTTTTACGGAAATACGTGATATATTTGGAAAAAGATAATCCAACATAATTCTAAAATTCCTTTGCTGTCAATTTTTGTTAAAATAGAACTTGATTATTGCTCAAAGGAATGGATTTCTAATCTTAGCACAGGTGCTAGAATATTAATCGCTAGATTCTGGAAAGATAAAAATGGGACCAAATTAGAAGATGGGCATAACGAAGTATGGG